TTTATTCAAAAATAAAAACATTATCGTTTTCTCAAAATCACATAAAGCCATATTATAACATCGACTGAGATAAAGAATAAAATGAAATATTAAAATCACGATGTATCTCGCTGCATTGTGCGAGTACGCTTCTAGTTACCTTAAGTGCATGGACCAAAATTGAAACCTTTTTTCCAGGTGGAACAACCTACTCTTGGTCCACCGGGGAAAAAAGAATCGGTTTTCGTCCAAAAAAACCCACTTTCACATAAAAAAATGGTATGAAAAATCTATAATAATATGTTAAAACTTAAAACTACAAAATCGTTGGGTAAAAAAAACTCAACAATCGTTATAAACAAAAAGAGGTTATGTTCATAAGGGGGAAAGAAAAACTTATCTCACGAGCCATTGCGGAAAATGCCGGGTTACTGACGTGGAAGATCGCTACATAATCCGACGTGTGTTTTTTTCTCTTTCCGGGGAGAGCTTTTTTTGTTCCCCATTTCTTTGTATTTATATAAGAATGAGAATGAAAATGAGAATGGGATGGTGTTCTTATATTGATTGCGGACTGGTAGGGTCATATTTTTTTTTTAAAAAGAGCTTTTCCCAATATATGGTTTGATTAGGGTTTTATCCGAGCCCGACATGTGTAGGTTCGCAAATGGCAGATCTGCAATTAAGGATCTGGGTAGAAAGTGTAAATCTTGAAACTCCATGGGGCAAATCTACAATTGTGGACCGGGTATAAAGTGTAATTTTTTTGTCGTTTAGCTAGGTCCGCAATTGCAGACCTGAGGACCATGACTATTTTGGTAAAAATAGGGGAACATGGCTAAGAGATGAAATCAATCATGGAAAATGACTATTTTAATTAATTTTTCATTATTTTATCTATTTTACTTGTATATGTGTTTATTGATTTTAGATACTATCCAAAATAGAGACAATTAAAAACACAAGGTTAAAAAGATGGGGGCCTAAGATAAATAAAGACAAAACTTCGGTATAAGCTTCTATATTTTTCTTGAAATTTTGATTCTCAATAATAGTCTTTCCTCCACCTATTAAATATCGTGTCTGCCCCCCTGGTACATATGAACAACCACGTGGACCAGAGTTGATCATGCATAAAAACATAAGATTATTGAAAACAAAAACAAAATCTTCTATACGTTAACAAAGGGTAGATCTATTCATGCTTGAACGGGGTCTCATGCATTCGTTCAACTGACTTTTACCAGTAATTCTTTTGAGGCATAAAAGATGTGTCCGTTAAACTTTAAATGATACTTCGGGTTATTAGAAAATTGAAAAAAAAACCAAAAAAAAAATGATTCTATTGAAATTAATCCAAAAAAAACTTTCGAAACAGTAAAATTCTATTAAAAATGCATTCGACGACTTTATAAGCTTGATTAACTTTAAAAGTGTATAATTGAAGGGGTTTTCTATCCCCACCCCCTGCTATGTCTTTTCCCCTATTGTTTCCGAACCCCCACCTACTTACAACATTAAAATAAGTTTATTTTATTTTTCATTTTTAAACCCTTGATATTTTTAATTTCAACCTTTCAACTTTTTAATTACTTTTCTATTATATCCTTTACCTTTTTTAACTGTTAATCTATACTATAATTACATATTTTAATTAACTATACATTATTAT